TGTAGGTCATCTAGTCCAACCCCCTGCCCAAGCAGGAGACCCTACACTATTTCTGACAGATGGGAGTCCAATCTCTTCTTGAAAGCCTCCAGTGATGAAGCTCCCACAACTTCCAAAGGCAAAGCTGTTCCATTGGTTGATTGTTCTCACTATCAGAAAATTTCTCCTTATTTCCAGGTTGAATCTCTCTCCTTGTTCAGTTTCCATCCATTATTCCTTGTCTGGCCTACAGGCACTTTAGAAAATAGCTTGACCCCTTCCTCTCTGGGGCAGCCCCTCAAATATTGGAAGACCGCTATCATGTCTCCCCTGGTCCTTCTTTTCACTAGACTAGCCAAGCCCAGTTCCTGTCACCGTTCTTCGTATGTTTTAGTCTCCAGTCCCCTAATCATCCTGGTTGCTCTTCTCTGTACTTTTTCTAGAGTCTCAACATCTTTTTTACAATGTGTTGACCAAAACTGGATGCAGTACTCTAGGTGTGGTCTTACTAAGGCTTTATAGAGGGGCATTAGTACTTCCCTTGATCTCGATTGTATCCCTCTGTTAATGCAATTTAGGATTGCATTAGCTTTTTTGGCTGCTGCTGCACACTGCTGGCTCATATTTAGCTGGTTGTCCACTAAGACTCCAAGATCCCTCTCACAGTTCATCTAACAGATAATCAGAGTTGTAATAGGTCATCTAGTCCAACCTACCCATTGCTGCTATTGAGCCTGGTTTCACACAGTCTATATGTGTACCTTTGGTTTTTCTTGCCTACGTGTAGGACTTTACTTTTCTCTACATTGAATTTCATTTTGTTAGATACGGCCCAGTGTTCGAGTATGTCACGATCCATCTGGATCTTGAGCCTATCTTCTAATCGGGGTGGGCTTCACAAAATCTTAGTAAAGGGTTCGGTGCCCGGTGGCTGGGCAGGCGTGGCTGTGGTGGGCGTGGCCTAGTCAGCCTCCTGCATCACGGTGGGGACGGGGGCATATTTGTCCTTCCCTGGCTCTGGAGGCTTTTCTCGAGCCTCCGGGAGGGTGAAAACGGCCTCCCTGAGGCCCGCTGGAGGCTCTCTGGAAGCTGGAAACGGGCCCATTTCCGGCCTTCCCAAACTTCCAGGAGGCCTTTTTTTCACCCTCCCAGAGCCTCCGCGTGCGCCCTGTACTTACCTGCATCCAAAACGGGCCACGTGGGGACTCCTGGGAGGAGGTGGGCAGGGCCAGCCAGGAGTGGGAGTCCGGGGTTCTCTGAAGTGCACCAAAATTTAGCTAAGGGCTCTCCCGAACTCCTGTGGGCCCCCAGCAGCCCACTCCCTCCCTGTAATTATTTTTAATCTGGGTTACTTGGTTGGGGCTTAGCATGGGATGCAAATCCAGCCTCTTTATTATTTTATTTTATTTTATTTTATTTTATTTATTTTATTTTATTTTATTATTTTATTTTATTTTATTATTTTATTTTATTTTATTTTATTTTATTTTATTTTATTTTATTATTTTATTATTTTATTTTATTTTATTTTATTTTATTTTATTTTATTTTATTTTATTTTATTTTATTTTATTTTATTTTATTATTTTATTTTATTTTATTTTATTTTATTATTTTATTTTATTTTATTATTTTATTTTATTTTATTTTATTTTATTTTATTTTATTTTATTTTATTTTATTATTTTATTTTATTTTAT